GATATCTGAATCAATGATAATTATCAGATCAATAGATAAATAACAAAATCTATGAATACAGCTCCTTGTATGTCTGGATGCTATTGATGCTAGAAAACTTCTCGTACTTTTTTTTTTGAAAGAAAGCCAAAAAATTTGAAAGCTGTTTGAAGCACTCCAGCAACAGTATGTAATTCTTATATATATATATACAAAGACTATTTGCGTTTGCATCGTCCATCAATAAAAATACATAGAAATATCTCTCCTTGTGACAGTTTTATCAGAATATAATTTTATATGATCTAATTTTCTTATAATTTCAGTGAGTTTATTCATTATCTTTCACACTTCAGACTATCTATATTTCATGTATCTGATATTTAAATTCTTATTCTTACTCCGGTTCATAGAATGTGACATTTTGCCAGTTTATTTGTTTGAGAGATCTTTATACTTTCATGTACCATGCTTAAAAACCGAGTGGTGGAAATAGGCTTATAGATCTGAGTTATTGTGCTTCTGAGTCAAAATTTGTGTTATAGCATTAGCAAAAATTATTATTAAATTTATTTTGATCAAGAAATGGCAGCATGGCTGACTGGTTAACATGTCTGCCTAGTAATCTAATGATCACTAGCCGCATGGGTTCAAACCCCACTTGGGGCAAGTTGTTGTTTCCTTGTGCTAGAAACTTTACACTCATTGCTCAGTACTGGTTTATTCCAGGAACAGGATTTGAAAGTGTGTGTCTATAATCTTAAAGCTTCTTACACAAACTATCAATTCTGTATAAACCAAGGACAAATTATCTCACAATTTGCTCAACACTTCAAACTATCGTGACTCAGACTAATAATGAATGTTTCTGCCTTGTTGGCTGGTTCATCAATATTGCATATTTTGTGTTGTCTGCACCTTATGTAATACAATTCATTGCCGCATTAACTGTCAAACTTGAGGACCAGACTAATATTGCAACTGTCACTTCCTAATTCGTATTCAGTTTTAATCTATCTGTTTTTAGCAATTTTGAGACAGTCTCTATTTATAGAAACCATCTTTATCACATTCAATGATATATATAACATAACTTATGACTTAATTCTTAACATTTACATGTACCCTGCTGGCATCAACAGATTCTGTCCATGCGAACAGTGTAGACCAAAATCATCTGGCACATCTCTGCCATCTCAGATCATGGTCTTAACTGTTCGCTATTCAGTCAGTATATATTTTGAAATTTATTTACTCTAAGAGTTTGTCAAGATTGGAAGATGGATGAGTCCACTTCAAGATATCAACTCACCATAATCAATTGTTATATTTTAGAATTCTGATACATAAAATTATACAATTCTTCCTGCCATTAACACTGATGTGAAGCTATACAATTAAAGTAAAGCTATAATACTTCATAAAAGGACTGGTGCAGCACAAGCCTGACCTCAAATCCAAAGATTGCCAGTGGTCCCCATTTACTCCTATTTAGGTAAAAGATTTGGGTTCAAGCTGCAAAGCCAATACGATGGCATGCCCACAACACTAAAGGAAAGGAACAAAGACAAAGGGAGGGAGTTCTCCCAATCAAACTTCAGCAAACATCAGGTAAATTTGAATACACAAGTTGTTATTTATAACCATCGCTGATCAGTCCCCATCTTGGGTGCTGTTTGAAATAGCTTGTTTTTACCTTTCAGCTGTACCAGCAATATCCGGTCAAATGCCATTATATACCTGCAACATTATATACATGGATATAATCTTCTATTCAGATTTAATACAAACTGAATTTGAATATTTTTATGCTGGCCTTTCTGGATCCATTTTATTAATTTAATTAAATACCTAATATTCAACTAAACACAATAAAATACCACAATTACAACAACAGAAACTTACTTACTTTTGGACATTAGACTTAGAAGATATAGAATCATGCAATAAAGTCCGTAAAATATCGTATATGCACAAATCAGTACAGCCACTGCCGCTAAAAATAAGTCTGGATGATCCTCTAAAAACGGGCATTTTTTCATTGGAATCCTTTAATGTTTATTAATTCCTGAATCCTGTTCTCTTTATAAGATACAATGTTACATGCATATTCCCTGACACATTACATAAAACACCTCTCTTTAGTCCAGACAAATAAATTTTCTCGGCAATTTTGAAATTCTGAAATTTTCAGAAATTCAATATTCTAAAATCACTTAAATCAGCAATAATCTTCTGGAACTGAAATCAAAAGGGAATAAAACGCTCATGTTGATTCAAATCAAATTAAAGCGTGCACACTTTCCAAGAACACTTTGTGCAATTAACATTTTCCTATTCTAATTTTCTCCAACATAACAAACAAGCAGAATTAAATTTCAACATTTTTTTGTCATAAATAATTAACATATTAACGTATTTATAACTTCCTTTCATTTTTATTTCCTCATAGAGATGCACATCGATTAAATATCAAGTAAAACTCTTCCTTAATTAATTACATAAAATAGAAATCAATTTGTATTATAACATCACATCCCTGAAGAGAATATCCACATTGACATTTTGAAAGAAAACAACATTACAAGTTGCTTCCACGAAGCTCCAAGTTTCTTCGTACACTACTTACTTTATATTGATCACGTCTCGTCACAAAAGGCATGAAACAGTGCTTCAAAGTCATAAATCACGAATATTAACTTATGCCATAAGAAGAAGAAAAAAATTCACTGCTTAAAAAAAAACAATAATTTATAGTGATTAATAAAATAAGCTCGCTTATGACCGCAATAATAATTCTATTTAAGAATATTGGGAAACCTACAGACTTCTAAAAGGTTACTTAAAACATTATCACTTGAAGATTATACTGGTAGGTCCGATTTTTCTAAAAAAAAAAAGAGAAAAAATCTAAATGTCATTTTTGTAACCACAGAATCTCATTCTTATGATTCTGTATAAATAATAAACATTGAGTTTCTACAAGTGTCTGAGACAGTACCCACTAAAACTGTCATCAAGCAACAATATTGATATAATATATTGATGTATGACCATTATTATGTTTCTTCATGTATTGAATTTAGCTCGTTACTTCACTTTCTTCTTCTTTTTTTTATTTGTTTGGGTCATCAGACCAAACAAATAATGGCAGCGAAATTTCAGACCCTGATGTTCTTATTTGCAAATGCCGAAAGTAGTCCAAACTCCTTGAAGCGGTTACTTCCCTTCATATGTACATTAATGCCAAAAAATTAAGGGGATATCTCTGCGGAAAGATTGTCAAATGACGGCGCATTAATTTTTCGTAACGAAAAAATAGTTCCAGATTGGACAAAGATTTCTAATATTGTGTTATTCTATAGATATACATGCTTATATTCAGCTCCATGGTGTTAAACAACAGGTTAACCGTGAACAAAATATATCGAAATTAATAAGGGTTACAAACTCTAATTAAGAATAATACAGTATTCTTCAAGCTGTTATCTTATAACCCCCAGCGGTCGAGGGGTTTACACCCTCGCTTTAGAAGCGAGAGGACTGGAGTTCAAATCCCAGTTCAGGCAACTCATGTTTTTGTTTTGTTTTTTTGTTGTTGTCTTTTTTTAATTAAGCCAAATAAAAGTTGAATTGAATATCAGCGTTGTAATTAGTCTTATAGCCAATTTCTATAGTTATAACACTGGAAACAGCATTGGTGACACTTTACAAACAAATTGGTTTATAATCTCACAACCTTCACCTTTCTGACATTCTGAGACCCAAACAAATTAAGCGCCTTCTGTGCTTTGATTTTTCTAGCCAAAACTTTTTAGTTATTGACAGGATTTCTGGTGGATCACAAAATGATACATGTACTAAAACTAATGTTTGGTCACAGAGTAGGACTATTAAAACTACAAACTCTGTAGAAATTACAATGAAGCCTCTGAATGCAATTTATACATGACAAATTGAAATATTTTCTCATCAATGATGCTTTCTTCACATTACAATTCTACATAGCTAATATATATGTAAACAATATTTAAATCCATTAATTTTCTTCAGAGTCAAGGTGCCTTTGAATCACCTATAAAGACATACCAAAATTCTGAACAGGGGCTAATATATTTTTACAAATAACATAAATTCTAAATTGTAAAATGGCACAAATTTTCACTTTTCTAAAATTATTCAGTGCAGACCATCACAAGTTGCTAGACACTACCTTAATTTTAAACATAAGATGCCTTAAACCACAGAAATATGATTCATAGTATTTTTAATAGCAAATTTTCAATAAACACAAAACCACATGTCAACAACGTTGAAACTATCCCCTTTCTGAATTTCAATTACAGACTTTTATGATTAACAAAACCGAGAAAAGGCTTCATTTTCCAGTTCCGAAACCAGACAAGGCAGGGAGGAAAAAGAAGACTATAAAATCAATTCATGTGATTATATATATACCCAAAGGTGATATTCAACAGGTTGTGAAAATGTCATCGTCTTGGTATTCCAGACTGACTCATTGACATTCAAATGACAAGTTAATAGGATTTGAATAAATACATTCACATTTTTTGGGTTTCTTTCTCCAGAAAGTTTATATTATGTCCATGCAAATCACAATGTCTAAATTCTAATTGGTACCACACCTGATTGTTACGATTGTTTGTTTTCAAGATAAAATCACATGTACAAATAGGCTCATAACTCTGATTCTATCAACTGATGATTCACTATTTAAGTAAAGAAGCTTTAAAGTTAAACTTAGTGGTAAACAGTGGTTCAGAATAAATAGCATATACCCAGAAACTGATTACTATAATATCTAAGTTATATGATATTCTCAGAGATAAATCCTATGTCACGAAATACATCACAAATTTTGTTTTGAAAACAAGTCGAGCTAAAAAAAATATTCTTAATAAAACAGCCAAAGTCACTTTGAAATGCAGAACACCTCCTTTTCTTCACTTAATAGTTGTAACAAGAAACTTTATACACTTTAATCATTCAATTAAACCTACCTAAAACAGCTGCTCTATACTTTAATTTCCATATACACAAGGTAAACTAATGTAATTATTACAGATAATGCCAGAAATCTTTTTCAACACTGCTCACTCTCTAATGACTGACTGGTACACATTATATGTATATAGCCAATCCAGCTGTGAGTATAACATGAAAGCCTGGGCTTATCATCATAGCATCTCAGTAACGCATTCCACACATACCGTATTTCATGTAAAAGCATTTCCTAACAACAGAGATATCATAGATACTAAATAATGTAAACCTTTCAAGGCAATCTAGAAACTATAATCAGCTTAAGGAATGGAAACAATCAACTTAATTATTATTATGATATTCATAGAATCAATTAATGAGAACTGGAATGTTTAATCATAAAAATATTATTATATGCATTATATAATTTATATGTGAGTTTCAATGGGAACCAATCTCTTTAAACTCTCCAAAATATGTATTGTAAGAATAAAATTGGACTCTTACATCAGCTGGGAACTAAGCAATACAATTTTTAATATTAACGGTGGTGTATGATTTTTGCAAAACAACTCTTGAAAATGTTTAGTAGCAATACAATTTTTAATAAGGGTGGTGCATGATTCTTGCAGAACATTACTCTTTAAAATGTTTAGTAGCAATAAATTTTTTAATAAGGGTGAAACATAATTCTTTAATCAACAACACTTTAAAAATGTTTATATTAGTTGCAAGAGCATGACTGGTCTGTACTAAATTGCCATAACCTAAAGGGACTGATGGAATTAATCATTATCGAGCAGACTCATACCATAAACCCAACTTAAAGCAACACTCTTCAATTTACATATTATACAGTTTAGTCAGTTTAATAAAATGCTTATTCTTTACCACGCAACAGCTCTATGTTTTCCTCAATACCTGGCTCATACAGCGGATTAGACTTGAAGTAGAGGTGATATTTTTATAGTAAGTATGGTAGTGACAAGATAAGAGTCTGCTGCATACTTTGATCATCATGGCTAGATAAAGGTCAGTCATGCATAAATCATAACACATGTGTATACACCAGGCTAACAGCACCCCATTATGATACACAAAATATAACATAATATGTTAATGATCAGTCAATCATATCATTAGTTTACACATCTGGCATTTCAATAAACATACATACATAATGATACAGGCCTGCATACATATATTCCAGTACACCAGCCAGAAAATATTGTATATTAAAAGGCTTCTTCCCCACAAGATGTAACTTACATTTTCTAAAAGGGTGTTGTTAAAATAATTTTTTTTTTTCTATTTTGGTATATTATGAAAATATACTGATCAAATTTGTGATATTAAAATCCAAAACACAGGTATATAATATTTAATAATCTGCAATCATCTTGGCAACTTTTGTTTCCTTTTGTTCTTTTGCTTTGTCGAAAAAGGTGTGGGGGATAGTCTTTGATACTAAAAATGTATGTTCTTATATATAAATATTGAATGTTTTCTATCAAGGTGAAAGATAACATAATAAAACATTTTTAACTAAATTCTTTCTATCGTTAACCAAACATAATAAATCATTTTCCTCCTACTTAAACTAGCTGTATAGTTTACATTTTACCTGGGTTATAATAAACCAAAATTATTACAATCTGTTTCCATGACTACAATCTCTTATGCTTACACGATTTCTTTACACCTGTTTAAACATATAATGTAATGGATGAAAACAAATTTGATTTTTTAAATTAATCTTCTTTTTCAATGTATTTCATAGTCTCTGGAAATTTTAGGTCTCTGGATAGCCTCTGGATTATTATTTTAAGGTCCACTCAACAATGAGCATGCATGATAATTATAAAAACTTAAAGTGCAAAAGTAAAACTTTATATTACAGTACTGGTATTATAAGTTTTATTTGCCTTATGAAGCATAATAAGGCTGAAAGTAAGTCAAGCTGACTTCATGCAAAACTTAAACATTGCAATTTATTCTAATATTTTCAAACTTTAAAAGAAATCAACATAAAACTTGGGATATTTATCATGACAAGGCGCAGTTGTAAGCAGGGCATGAAAATGTCAAATCCATGGCTAAGTGGTGGAGGTCGTTGACTTCAAACCACTTGCCCCTCACTGATGAAATTCGATCCACACCACGGTCTTCGAATTCTTTCATCCCTGAGCTAGCTTACAGTATGTAAGAAGAATGCAAGAATTTGCCAGAGTAAAGTCATGTATTCCAAGACCAGATAACTGTCACATTTGCACTGTTTAAAAATAAGTGCAACAATTATTTAAGCCTCTATTAAAACAAAAAAAAAACAAAAAAACATATAAAGTAGCAACTGACAGAATTAAATTTTAATGTATTTCTCATCAAGCTTAACAACCGCCGTATGACCACATCTGCGGATGTTTCTAAATTCAAAATTTTACTATTTCATGTTTAAATGTTGAATTCTGCTTAAGCCGGTGCTAGGGGGCGTGGACGGTAACTTGCACTTTCCAGTATCGTCCATGAACAGGCTCAATCAAACCGAGCCTGCAACATTTTCAATTTTGCCGTGTTGGGCTTTCTTTAGGGATTCTGTATTTATCTATTTTATGATCACATCCGTGTTATTTGTGCCGTGTGGCGGCTGTAAAAAGTCTCCCCGTACATTTAATCAATGATGTTATATTTTCGATCCTTGAAGATCGTTCAGCACGACATTATTGTTGTGCTTGTGGTATTTTTAGTTTCAACTTTTCGGCATTTTCTAGTTGGGTGGTTCCAATATTCCTACTTGAATAATGTTGAATCACCCTTAGGATATGTTGCCTGCTTTTTAAATTTGTTTTTTGACGTCTTATCTGTGATACGCAGGCTTCATAACCTCTGATCCCCTTTCCAAATTCCATTTTATTTAGTTCCGCCCATTGTTTTCTCGTTTAGGGCACACGCTTTTTATTACTTGGGGACCATACGCCGCTTTTCATGGAATGGCACGGAAGTGTCACATTGAAGGTTCCATGACAACCGCCGTATGACCACATCTGCGGATGTTTCTAAATTCAAAATTTTACTATTTCATGTTTAAATGTTGAATTCTGCTTAAGCCGGTGCTAGGGGGCGTGGACGGTAACTTGCACTTTCCAGTACCGTCCATGAACAGGCTCAATCAAACCGAGCCTGCAACATTTTCAATTTTGCCGTGTTGGGCTTTCTTTAGGGATTCTGTATTTATCTATTTTAATATTTCACTCACTTCATATTTTTTACTAAAAAAAATATTTGATAAAAGTAAAAGTATTTCACCATTCCATATGTAATATTTACAGGCATAAAAAAAGCTACCAAAAAGCATTTAATAGAAGATTGGCTACCTGTACAGGCCCTAGCCAAAAGTGCTAGACGTATGTGAGTCATGTATGGCTAGCCATGACACACTGCATTGTCTTGCTGTATGGCACTTTTCAAAATCATATGAAAGTCAAAAATGTATGTGTTATTTTGTGTCTTTAAACGAGGATTTTAACCAAGTTACCGCATTTGTCCTCTGTATTCACTTTAATAAAGATGCTCCGCCATTTTGTAAAACCAAAATGAATACAAAGGTAATGCTTGCAAGCGTTGTAATCTTGATAAAGTGTCGGAGTTGCATGATGCATTATACAAAGTACATTGTATATGTACAGTAGGCAAAGTTATATTTATATAGAGGATATTTGTTTGTTTTGCATGTAAGATTGAAATATGATTTCACTGAGTGAATATCAGATGCAATATTTTCACGAGTGGCGTAGCCACGAGTGAAAATATAATCTGGTGTTCACGAATGAAATATATTTCAATCTTATATGTAAAACAAATAAATTTTCCTTTTATTTCATATTTTTTAAGTGATTTTAATTTTTAAGTACTTTTTACTGATTTTGCCACGAAACGTCGCTCGTTCTCCTTTTTGACATCATCACATCATGACGTCACATCATCAATTTTGAAATATAGTTCCTCTAACTTTGTTACGTTTCTAACATGATGTATGGGGACATCGACTTTCTTTTCCTAAAGAAGCAAAATTTACGCATGACGGCATTTATTTCTGCCCGTTATTCCATTTAGTTATGATTTTCTTTTCATCCGCATTCAGATATAGTTTGGCTACACTGAAAATAATATTTTATAAATTTCACTAGTGGTTTATCAGAATATAATCATCTGATATATTACAATAAAACACTGGAAAGCATGAAATAAGATTAAATAATAAATAGTTATGTTATAAGTTATAACATCGTTGTTTTTCATGCTTATGATTTGTTGTTTTATATGTATGAAAGATGAATTATTAAATCATTTTTTGTTAATTAAGCACATGGAATAAATAATCATAACGGCAAAAGAAGCTTGATTCAAAACTGCATAATCAGAGTAGAAAAAATAAAAAGAAATGAATAGAACATTGAAAAAAAAAGATAACTTTGAAAAGAAAAAAAATTGTATATTTTTTAGATTCAGTAGATAAATAGATAAATATCAAACATAAAAGCATAATTAGCCTTAATCAAAGCCTATACAGGGACTGATAACATCAATAGAATTTATGTTAGTGCAAACTTTCCTTAATGATCATTTCCGTTATTATGATAAAATGACAAAAGTTGCTGTTCCTTAATAGAAAGTCTAGAAAACAATGCTATTCAAATCACTGATTTCAAAATTTTCAGAATCTCTTGGTTTGGCATGTCAAAATTTTGACTACTCCTAGTCCTTCATTGAAAGACATCCCATTTTCTTTTTTTTTACAGTTTTACATTTATCAGAAAATGCAAAGCAGATTTGACTAATGTAAAAAATAGCTTCATATCCTCGTCTAAATATTTGGACTAGACTACTTGGAGTACTCCCATTTACGTCTAAATATTTGGACTAGACTACTTGGAGTACTCCCATGTCTGTCTGTCTGTCTGTCTGTCTCTGAGTACTGCCAACCCCTCTCGCGAGTGTTAAAGGCAGGAAATTGTGCGCGTCGGGTGTGTTAGTAAAAGGTGTGAGAGAAAGTAAAAACCTGAAAATGAACATGATCAGGACAGTGAGAGACATTGAAAACTTCTAGTCATTGTTAAAATGTTTTTATTAGTAAGGGTGAAAGAAAGATTTAAAAGTAAAAAC